TTTGTATCACCAATTTATTTTTATATTGTCAATTTGACATCTATCTCAAACAATTGTAATATCGTTTAATAAATTGAAAATTTGTGCTATTATTTCAAGTCTAAATTGCACATTTGCTGGTTTATTCTACTTGTTACATTTTTTTTTTATTCTTGAGTCTGCATATCAGAGCATAAAAATTAAACCATACTATATGTTTTATAAATTTGTTTAATAAAAGAAACAAACAGATGCGACGCTTCCTAAAAAAAAATCTATAAAAGCTTTCGCTTAAAACGTTTTTTTTTCCATCTGTCACACATGTCGTGTGTTGGCATCGAGTATTTTTCCAGTCCATAAAAGTTATGTAAATAAAGTATTTATATATAAAAACGCAAATATATGTCTCTTATTTTATAACGCAATGTTTCCGCAGGACTGTACGAAAAAACGGATGGAGAACGTTTTCTCGTAAGAGCATCTGTGTTTTAAAAGCAAAACTGGCTGCTGTACTGACTATTCATACGAACGAGAAGATACGAAAGAGAAAATCGATACTAACACTCGCGTGACCGGACCGCCAATGGGTTCGATAGCCCCGTAACTTCGTTAAAATAATATTTGCGTACCGGCGCAATCCGTTCGAGCGTGTCGTACAATGCAGGAGTGGTCTCCCGTGACAGAGAACGACGACGAGCAGCTCGTTAGCTTCGAGCGTTTCGCACCCGCGGGAGTTACGCCGCGCGTTTCGAACCCGTCACCCGCAAATGGAAAAGCAATCAGCGATGTCTCCAATATTTCAAGAGAATCGAAACTTATGATACCCGGAGAAAGAGAGAAGATCCTATATTTGACGCTTTCAGAAACGCATCATTTTGCACGTAGTGAAACAAATTTCCGGAAATGTCAAGGAAATATCCTTAATGGATTATTCCATTTTTGATGTATTTATTTTGCCTTTTCGTTTTATTTCTTCGTCTCCCAATTTGGTTAACACTTCTTCGGGAACTCGTCATACAAAGTGTAATCAGAAAAAGGAGAAGTACGTGTTCTTGCGAGAGCTGTATAAAATGTTTGTCATTTTACGCTCCCCGTAAGACGTATGTAATCCATTAGGGGCGGCGTTAAAACTGTAAGCCAACAACAATGTATCGTCTGAAACTTTGTGCGGCGGACCACCATCTCTCCTCCATCTTCTCGTTTTTCGTGACACCAAACAGATCTGTAAACCAGGGCGCGATGCACTCTGATTTCATAGGATGCAATTCCGGGGAACGCGCTTTTGCAAGCGGGCACGGGAATGCTTTTTGCATTTTCCGAAATTAACGCCCGACGTGCGAACAAAACACGATTCGAGAGCGCGCAATGTCCAAGAGTAACATGATTTTTGGCGCTAACATGATTTGCGCGTTCGCCAAGCTGGCTAGTGCGTTTTGCAATAGAGCACAAAATCACGCGCGATTAACGCGTCGCCCCATTAAACTTCTATCTATGTATTAAAAAAAAAATACCTGTAAATGTAACATATCAAATTTATAACGAAATCAGCGCAAATTCAGTGGAATTTATTACCGAATGATGTGGAAGGTTGATAAAAAATTTCCGGGATTGCAATGTCCCTGTAGGACTTGCACTGTTGCACTTGTAGCATTTCATATTTCAATTCATTTCATCTATGCTATTACCTATTTGCAGCATCAGAAATAGATTATATATTTTTGCATCACCATTACATATTACCATCCATAGACCGTTGGTGCAATATTTTCTATTTTATCTGATGACTTATCACAATAATAAAAGTCAATGGTATTTAATTTAATCATGTTTGTACCGAATGGAGATAAAATTTCAGCAGATTCAATAGATTCGTCTGTGTAAAAATAATATACCAACATCAGACGTTCAATTATTTACATTATTGTCTTTTTATTAATCTTCAAAATTTATTCCAATGATAATTATATGAATATTAATTATAGTAGATATAATTTTATTAAAACGATAATATTGTATATTGTATTGAGTCTTAAATATGTCTTGTTTGTCACATCATTTTCCGATATGTACAGTTTAATCTCTCTTCTTTGCCCAGGAATTAATATGCAGTGAATACCAACAAAAATGGTTTATATTCTAAATAATCATGTAAATCGAATTGAAAGCAAAACCCGATTGTTGCATTTCAAATGTACCGATTTTCTTGCCCCGGAACTTCGTTCTCGCGCGGCTTTACGTAGACCGGTGATGGATTAAAAATTTAATATCCTGTTTCGTGCCACGAAGGTTTCTCGGGGGGAAAAAAGGCTCTATTTCCGCAGAGCACCGAAACGTTACGTCCTAATTTTGTTTTGTGTTCTTTATGCGCTTTTTCATTCTCGGACGTCTCCTTGCGTTTGCAATCGTCACTCTTGCATCAACGAGCATTCGGATAAGCACTCTAATCCTTCCTTGAGTATGAAAATAAATCGTAGTTTAGCTATATTTTTACAATTTTTATAGTAAAAGCTTATTTCATACTTTGTCATTGTAGAAGTACATGTAATAACATTACATTTCTTTATTTATGTTATATATTTATCTTGATAATTTAATAATGTTTTAAATCGAATCGTCGAATTATCAAGATAAATATATAAAATAAATAAAGAAATGTAATGTTACAGTTACATTAATTTAATAATTTAATTATATTATTAAATTATCAAAACACAGCTGTTTATTTTATTTATCCTTTTTAAAATCTTATAATCTTTTAACTTAATTATTATTTAGAAATTAATAATGATGTTTTTTAATTGCATTATTTTATAGCTTTTATACTCTATTCTCTTCTTTTTTCTTTTTCATTCTTTTTCATCCTATCTCTATTTATCTCTGTCTTATCTAGGATGCATTCTCTAGCAATCCGTGCAAGTATGTACATACATATGTGCTTGTGAAACATCGTATATGCGATCGAGCGTTCAATGGAATCGCGCGCAGACTGGTTGCGCGTTATCCACTTTAACGGATAGCGGCATGAAACGGATCCTGAAATTGAAGTTTCGAATTAAACCGTCTGGATGATCCGTCTCATCTACGGGAGTCCCTTTAAGGCTCGCGCGCGCAATTTTGTTGTCAGCAAACATGTCGCTGCGGAGACTGGCCGACTTTAATGCGTTAAATATAGTCCCCCCGAATTAATTTGTCGATTTCCGCACCACCTGCGGGAGCGAAGCGATGAAGCGATGAAGGTACCCAAAAGAGGATAAGCATGACAATGAATATCTAAATTACTCATTACTGAACTTGTCCGTCACGTAAGTCGCTTGATTACACATGAATAAAACGTAACGATAAATCAAACTTTAGTTTGTAGTCCAGAAGCGATAACTGACAACACGACATTAAAAATTCTACTAAATGTTTATTTATTAATTATTAAATATTGTTAATTAGATTACAGCGAAAATGATTAACGATATTGAAAATCAACAAAAGTTAAGGTCTCGTTCTATGTAAAGTGCATATGACAGATATTACATAAAGGTAGTGTATTCTTACAATACACAGAGTATTTTCATTTCAAAAACTCTGTATCTGACTTCTCTTCTGGGATAAATAAATCGCAATCACGTGTTCACTGGTCATCTTCCTATTCAGTGGCGATATCTTGCATACAGTCGGAAGCTTCCGGCGGTGATGTGAAATTTTTCGCGATCACGTTTGACGCGCGACGGCGCGAAAAAGTGCATTCGCGCACCTATATATCGAGGTAACTGCATTCAACGCACGTCCCGCGAGTTTATCTCGGCAAAGAGGAGCTGACATATTGGGATCATTCTGGTCGTCTGGCCGCGTTTATGTACCCTCTCCGCGCTAGTTCAGTGCCCTAAATGCGATCGTCTTTTTAGTTCTTTCTCCTATCTTCTTTTCTCTTTTGCTTAAGCTCAATTTGTGGCGGTTAAACCACTTCTATTTTTAAAGCCACGATTGTTGTTATTTTCATTCTTTTCTATTTCTATCTTCTTGCGGCCATAAAGAGAAGAATATCAAAAAGTCGAGTGAACATAAAATTATAATATTTAATATAATTATATTTTGTAGATCCCGTTTCGTAGACATATTAATAGCGCCAAGATTTTGTATTAAATTTTCTTTGCTTTTCATTGTATCTATCATATTTTTCATATATTTAATATAATTTTATTACATACACATACGCTTTTAAAAATTTATCTGAAAACACATTTTATGTATTCTACAATCATAATAAAATTATATATATAAATTTTAAAATAAATTTTATTAATTGGATCCAAATATTAATTAAGTATTAATTAAGTAAATAAGATTTTTATTGGTGAATATTGATTAAAGAATCTAGTTGATCATTTTTAAATCATTTGAATATCTAAAATTGTGTACAGACTATTGCGTGAATGTATAAACAGTGATAACCAACCAATATTTGCTGATAACTCATTGCATCGATCGAATATTCAATATTGAAACATTATTAATACAATGTGTTATCTGTTGTTAATCATAGGATGAAATGACAATTTCATAGAACAAATCGATCAGTATGCAAAAACATAATTCATTGAAATAGTTTGACGAATAAGCAATATTGTAGAACTCAATATTGCATTCACTAGATTAGTTATGTTTCGCGATAACAGGATTCGTTGGTTTGGCCATTTGTTCGATTACGAATCTCAGAAATTGACAGAATTGACAGAATTAACAGAGCTGTACGTTTCCATAATTTTATTCCATAAAATTTTATTCCACCAAAATCAATATTTATTTTTACATGCAATCTATGATTATCTATATTCATTGTTGTTTTTATATTTGTATAACAACTTTGTATTAAGAAATTAAACAATAGCATTTATATTACGTAAATAATAGGAATACAATAGGTCACTAGAGTCTTCTTGTCCACTCGCTAATCTTAATTTACATTTAAACCATCTATACATTTCAGATATCTAGATAACTATAATAATTATGTTATTTTCTCGTTACAGGTGTAGGATGAAACAATGGAGACAGGATCTACCACCGACTTCCGTTATAATTACTTTTCACAATGAGGCACGATCTACATTACTCAGAACTGTCGTCAGGTAAGTTAAAAATAGCTTTGCTTTATATAAAGCATTTACGTTTGACACTTAAATCTATTATTTCTTGCAATTTTTTAAAATTTAATATATGTTACAATTACATTTCTATATAAAGAAATAAAGATTTGTATAAATACTTCTTTCAATTTACATTATGGAAATATATAAATGGAAATATATATAAAAAAGACGTATGTAGAAGTAAAAGAATTAACTAAATTTTGTAAAGAAGGAATGAATTTAATATGCAAGTAATCAAATTCCTAAATGCAAAGTAATTGCTAATGGGCAAATTCTCATTCGCGATCGTCAATGGTATACGTGCGGCACGGCTATCTTCAATTCTCGATGCATCAGCGGGTTGCAGAAAACGCGAGAAAATTCTCAATTCAAGCCGGAAAGTGGGCGATGGTGTGCAATGGAATTTTCTAATCGTCATTCCAACGTTTTATCTCTCGTACTTATTATGCGCTTGTATATACATGCGCATAGATGCGCATGGATTAAAGAACTCAAAAAACCTTTGGAAGATATATAAGAAAATATCATAAATTCAATTTTTTCTGATAGATGACCGATATATAAATCGCTATTAACTAATTGAATTAATTAATTTAATTAAATAATAAACTTTTTATTGAACAAATATAACGCTTTTATGTATATTTTATATATTCTTTTATAACGTTTTGTATTTCTTGATGTCATGAAAAATAAATAAGGTACATAGAGATTTAAAAATTTAAGACTTTTCTAGTTTTCTCTCAACTATGTAGATCTTTCAATTTTGTTATTTCTTTAATTTTATGAGTAATTAAAAACATTTATTTTGCATAGTTGACTTCATATCTATTTCAACGGCTTACCTTTTAGAAGCATATCCAGAGACATAAATCACTACATTTTCTCATAAACGGTCCTATATTAATTAAAACATTTTTTACGCGACGTCCCGCGGAGAGAAGGAAAGTACGAGCCACATTACTCGCCAGAGATAGCCTCCGTGCAAAAGTTACTCGAAGTTCTCTCCTCGAACCGGAAGAAGGAAGCAGGCAAGAGTCGGAAAATTTATTTAAGTCCGTAACATAGCGGCGCAAGGAAAATATATCGGCCCTATCGGCGTCGAGCCGATGAAATTAAAAGGAAGTCTTAATTACCGCGACGAAACCACATCTCACCACCATCTTGATGTGGCACGTGAAATTCTTCGCGATCGATTTAGCACCTTGTCAAAGTTTCCTGCAAAAGTTAAGATAATGTACGGTATCTTAATAAGTAAAAAGAAGTTTAAAAAACAAGACTTTATGATTTTATTAATACGGTCATGATAAAATTTTTGACATTTAAGATTAAAGACGTTCAAGATAAAAAATGATGGTAAGTTAAACTTTTTCCATCAATACTAAGAGATAGCTTTAATTAATGAAAAGAACCCTAATTATTTGCAACAATCCTCTTAACTCTAAACTCACGAGCAGAATGGCACGAGGCAATACAAGAACGTTCAAACAAGGGACAAGTGGTGCATAAAGTCCTTGAAACTTTGATAAAAGATTCAATGGAACAATCCCTGAAGCTTCTGTTCTTTTCTTAATCTCAGTTTATTCGACGTTAATCGACTGGAAAAGTTTATATAGAAATGAATGATAGTGAGTCAGAAGAGAAATGGCGTGTCGAGATTTTAAATTGAATCTGGAATAGAAATCGTATTATATTAAAAAATGATCTTGTATCAAAATTAAATATTATCATATTTTGTAGTAAAATATATTAATAATAAATTGAAACCAATTCAATGAGAGAACATTATATAATTGATACATATTATTTTTCATATTTGATATATTATTTGCTATAGAATTTCTGACATTATGAAATAGTAAAAAATACTAAAATAAATCATATTATTAAATATGTTAAAGAATATGATATTTATCTAAGTTGAAAACTTTTTATTTTTGCTTTTAGTGTATTAAACAGAAGTCCTGAACACCTAATCAAGGAAATCATTTTGGTAGATGATTTTAGTGACCATCGTAAGTAATTTTATATATTTCTTCAGTAATTCGATTAATTTAAAAAACTTTCGATTGCTTTTAAAGCAATCTTTATTGATTTTTACTTTTATAAATATCAATATATAAATAAAATACAATATAAAATAAATTATCATAAGATATCTGATACATAAAATTGGAGTGATAAATTACTTGCATGGATCAAACGAGGAGAGTATGACATATAATATTTAACGTAATTCAGTTAATTAAAATGTTAATTATATGTATATTCAATTACGGAAAATTGTGTTAAATATTACATTTAATACTGCATTTAATATTATTAAAAGATTAGTGACTCTCAGCTAATCCATCATTATGACATTGTTGGCTGCTTTAAACAAAACGTCATTAAATTATAATCTTGGAATTTGAACGCTCAATATCTCCATTCTAGTATTTATATCTTTTTAAGACAAAGCTATTTTAGCATCTTGATTGAGTGAACAAATAAAACAGATAAGACTAAATAAAATTTGCAAAGAAATAAGTGTAATATTTTGCAATAAAATATTTAAAATAATATTGCGTTTAATTAACGTAAGATGAAAAATATTGTGTGGTAAGGAAGATTGATTTGTTTGCAGCCGAGGATGGCGAAGAATTATCACGAATCCACAAAGTTCGTGTGATCAGAAATGAGAAGAGAGAAGGTCTGATGAGATCGCGTGTTCGCGGTGCGGATGCCGCTACTGCAAATGTATTAACGTTTCTGGATTCGCATTGTGAATGCAACGCTGATTGGCTCGAACCACTCTTGGAAAGAGTAGCTGAAGATCCAACGAGAGTAGTATGTCCCGTGATTGATGTAATTAGTATGGATACTTTCCAATATATCGGTAAGTATTAATAAGTAATTTTTACTTTATCTATTTCCGTTTTAAATAGGATATGTCATTTTAATTAATCCATTGGAATGTTGTAGAATCCTTAACTTCAAGATAAAAGTAATAATTTATATTAAAATACAAAAATGTCAAAAAGTCAATAGTTTACATGATATTTTATACTTTATTCTGGCATATTCTGATGTATAATATTAAAAAATCTCATAAACTATTAAGTTTTTAACATTTATATTTTAATATTTTGAAATTCAGAATAACTAGAAGAATTATATTACATAATAAAAAATATACAACTCTATTAAAAAAAAGTGGCGACTGTAAAAAAATCTTGACAATGGAATTATCTGCAAATGAATTTGAAATAAATATCATAATCATGTAGCTTCTTTGATACCATTTTTGTCTGCAACATTTTTGTCTTAAACTTAAGGATTCCGAAATATTTTAGTGATTGATTAAAATGAGATATCTTGTATTATCCTATTTGTTTATATAGCAAATAATTTGAAATACGTATATAAACAAATAATAACAATAATGACAATAATGACAATTATTGACAATTATTAAATAATGATAATTTTATCTCTCTTTTAGGAGCTTCCGCCGATCTTAGGGGTGGTTTCGATTGGAGTTTAGTCTTTAAGTGGGAATATCTCAGCCAGGCAGAACGACAGGCAAGACAAAAGGATCCGACGCAAGCCATTAGGACCCCTATGATTGCCGGCGGACTGTTTGTCATCAACAAGGCGTACTTCGAGAAACTCGGCAAATACGATACACAGATGGACGTTTGGGGCGGCGAAAATCTCGGTATGGCTACGTACAATTTTATGTACAAAGTACAAAGCATTTGGAAAATTCAAAGAGAACTAAACATACATTCTTATAATTAAATTCTTTCGCTCTTCTTCTACGAAATATGGAAAAATATTTTATTATCTTGCAAAAGCATCATTCATATTCATATCTATTTTCAAAAAATTTAGAATTTTTTTTTAAGAAAATTGTATATATGCTATGAAACATATTGCATGTGGTTGATGTACTTTGTTGCAAAAACTTTCTTGTGATGTACGCGCAGCTCACGATGAGTACTTCGCAGCAGAGTGAACTTTTTATTGGATCAATATGGTCGAAAGTTATAATTTCTCAACAAGTTTTAATGAGCGCTTTCCATTAAATTTTATTAAAAAGCATCATACTGGCGTAAATATTAGCTCATTCATCACTATATCCGACGGCTGCGCAAATAAACGCTTGAAAACATCTCGCATCGAAAGTTTACTGAGACTTACAGTTGCACTTTCTTTTCATTACATGAAACTCAAATTTTTTTTATTTAATTTTACGTATTTTATCTACATAAAAAATTCAGAAAATAAATTTATCAATAATCATTAAACAACTTAGAAAAAAATCATGCTTTAGTAAAAAATATAATATTGCAAGAACTGTTAATTTTAAGTGTTCAGAAAGTTGTCATTACACGTTTCAAATACGATAAGAACTCTTTGACAGAAACTATAAACATTTTGTATGCAGTTTGTAAGAACTTTGCGGAAAACACGGCAAGCAAGCCAATATATGTCGGAAGTGCGAAGTTAGAAATAACTGCGACCCCATTTCGGATAGAAGAGAAATATTATTAAGTTCCTTGGGAAAAATCTAACATTATTTCAGTTTAGTATAACTTTAATGAAACATTTGTATTAAAATGATTCTCCAATGGTAAAATCTAGTAAATATATTTTTAAATATAACTTGGTCTTTTATAAAAATTATTAATATTTTTTAACGTTCTATTTAATATTTTAACTTAATCTAGAACGTAAGATTTTCCAGAAAAATAAGAGATGATATGACACAATGTAATAAAGAAAAAAGTTTAAATTTTCTCTTGCTGTGCCTACAGTACCTCTTTTCTCACGTTTAATATTTGCACTTATTGCGCGCACTTGTAACTTTCTTTCAGAAATATCGTTTCGCGTGTGGCAATGCGGTGGCAGCTTGGAGATTATCCCGTGCTCACGTGTGGGCCATGTATTTCGTAAACGTCATCCTTACTCGTTTCCCGGAGGTAGCGGAAACGTGTTCGCTCGAAACACGAGACGCGCCGCCGAAGTATGGATGGACGACTACAAGCAGTTCTACTACAACGCCGTACCGTTAGCACGAAACATCCCTTATGGAAAGTAAGTCTGGATGCACACCGAAGTCTCAATTAAACTTTAGGAAATGCTCTGATTTCACTATATTTCATGTTGTTTAACGTCACATCAAGGTTCACGATGTCAATTCGCTCAATTCATATGAAATATATATAAAATACATATAAAAAGTATTTTTTCGGATTATAGTTTGAATATATTATATGAAAATATTATAGAGTGTTAATTAGATTTGAAAGAAGACAAAAATTCAAATATTATAGATTTATTATTTAAAATAATTATATGTTTCAGCATTCAAGATAGGATGGAGCTAAAACGGAGACTGCATTGCAAACCTTTTAGTTGGTATTTGAAGAACGTATATCCTGAATTAGTTATACCTACAAGTGAAGGTGGTCCAGGAGGATCTTTGAAGCAAGGCACAGCTTGTTTGGACAGCATGGGCCATCTTCTTGACGGAAACGTCGGTCTCTATCCTTGTCATGACACTGGTGGTAATCAGGTGAATATTCTTGAGTAACGAGGAATTTCATAATTGCAATTATGGAATTTTTCAAAACCGGTTGCCTCGCAGGAATGGGGCCTCACGAAGGATGGCCTGATCAAACATCATGATCTCTGCCTAACTCTACCGGTGTACGCCAAGGGCACGACACTGTTGATGCAGATCTGCGATGGTAGCGAGAATCAAAAGTGGCGACACTTGGAGGGCGGTCTGATACGGCACACCAGAATCCCCGTATGTGTAGACTCGCGATATCACGCGCAACGCGGCATTACGGCGGAGAAGTGCGACTCGAGCGCAGAGACGCAGAGGTGGCATCTCTACAATCACAATCACTAGCTGATATGGTTGCGGTGAACACGTCATTCACTCGCGGACTCTCTCTTATCGCTGCATGCCACGACGTGATCACCGTATAACGAGACCGAACGTGTCAGAGGTGCGTTACTTAATTAGAAACTGGCTGCCTGCGCGCGACCGGATCGATCGAATCCATGGGTGGGTTACTTATCCATCGTAAACCAGCATATTTTTGTGACCGTAATTGTAGCTCTTTATGGTCTCTTATACGGTATCGATGAAGAACCCCATCTTGTACCACATTGACTTGCTAGTTTGCGAGTTTTCAATGTTGCTTGTTCTTGACTCGGTATATTTGAATAGAAGACTTCTAAGATATTCCTCTTTAATAACGTTACGAAAAATGGTAAATGCAATTAAGATAAAACAGAATAATTTCGCAAAAGAAAGTGAAAAAAAGACTTTAAGACTGCTTGGTATTTAATTAATAAATTTCAGTTTTTATATCCATGAGAATTCCATCGCTTCCGATCGTTTTCTTAGGAACTAAGAAAATACTAGACCATCCTACTTTTTCTATGACAAAAGATTAACCTGATAGGTTGACGTCTCGCAATCGATGTGATAAGTATAAAATTATTTATAAAAATATAATATGAAAAGTGTGGAAACGTATGTACAAGCAGTGATGCAAATTGTATATTGAGTCGATACTCCACTCCGAAGCATGCTAGTTGCAACCATTCAAGTATCGAATTTACAAATTACGATACTTCATATGTATCGCGATTGATTTAGAGCAAAAATCATATTGTTAACATAAGCTAATCTTAATACTTAATACTTAATACTTTTAGCCTCGAAGAGAACTATAGGACACAAAAATTCTTAATTTTCGAGGTTCGAGGTGTTAAAGTTATAAAAAAAATGAAATGAATGTGTATATTAAAAATAAGTAATAAGGTTAAAATGAATACGCGATGAAATACTCATGTACTTTATGATTGTCACAGACTTATTTCTCTGAGAAATATTACTTAAACGAGGATTGAGAGAGAAATTTATAATATTGTATGCGAGCAACTATCTTTTCAATTTTACGATGTCATCTTAAAATTTATGCACACAATATAAATATAAGAATTTAAACAGAATTTTCTCAAAATTCTCGCTAATAAAATTCAATTTATATGAACTTAGATTGACATTGGAAATTGAAGGGATAAGTCGAAAGTAAATCGATAAGATGGTAATAATGCTTTTAATGGAACATAGCTGAAATGACTTAATCATCGCTGAGAGGTTGAAAATAAGATAAACTTAATTTCTTTTCCTAGTGCAATCAAAATTAACGAAACAGAGAGATAAATTAGAAATTTGAAATATAATTACGACAGTCAATTGATTTAACAATGCAGTTAAGTTTGATAATATATTAATATACTTATTATAAACCTATAAAAAAATTAATGAAGTTGATATTGAGTCATTTTTAGTACGGGTACGTACTTGAGTCTCCAGTCGATGGACAACTCATTTTTTTATATATTTATTTACGTACAATTTTTTATTAAATAAGCCAAAGCTTTTACACTGGCACTACTTGTTTTAGATAAATAGTTTTATCACAAACACCATTTTGAGATTACGCTTTTAAGCAGATATCCGCAGAGAAACTTTTTGCTATTTATTCCTGATAAAAGAATACAGAGAATTAATTACGTTATAATTATATTGTGTTAACATGATTAATATGAGTAATTTTCTCGAAGAGGACTAATTTTCATATTTTTCAAAGTCCTTTTAGATTCTGAAAGACATTTTACAATTGTAATACTGAAGAATAAAGCAAGAAGTTTTTCAGCGATTAAAATCGCTATCTTGACCAAAATCATATTATATTCGTATAATGTATATTCTTTTCATTATCTGATCTTAGTATATGCGACATACCCAAATCCGTCGATATCATTCTTCCCAATTGAACAACAAATCGGGATGAACAAAATGCTTTCCCCTTAAAAACATGCGCTAGAATTTGCAGAAAAGAGATTTATTTTTGTAACTAATTGTATACTTACTTGGTTGTGCGAATAAGCGAAAAGCGCGAGATGAATACGCATACTTAACATATTGTAGCCAGTAATTACATTACAAAAGCGAAATTTTTGCTTTTTAAAAGCAAGAATTAATTTTGAAATTCTTCAAATTTTTTTAACGTTTGAAATTTTCCATGTTAAAATTTAATTGTTATTTTAATAATGGCATTTATTAAAATGCTTGATTGCTTATTAAAAATGAAATTTTTCATTATAATGGAGAATTCTCAAGAATATTAAATCTAATCGAAAATAAAACGCATAGATTCATTATTTCGCCTACAACGTGTTAAGTAATGATCAAGATAAAAACTGACGTGACTAATTATAGCAATATATATTAGCAAACACGATCTTTTGTATACTTATACTTTCCGACGATAATGTCTTACTGCCGTCACTTCGCGTTGGGACTATAAATATCGCGAAGATGAGATAAATATCATATAAACTTTTGTATGATACACATGAGCATCCATATTATATCCACATTAGCTGCTGTAGTAACCACCTGCTAAAAAATTCTTTTGATATCGATATTGTATACGTAGAACGATAACATTTCAATGTAGATAATTGCCAATGAATCGGCCGTGAACTAATTAAACGAATGCGATTACTGAAATAGGATGAATAATCTTGAATTCTGAAAATCAAAATGTCAAGAAAATCTCTCAGACTTTTTCAATTTTTACAAAAAGAGCGTTGTCTTTAGAGCGTCTTCCTTTAATCAGAGCATCGGCTGACGCAGTGATATATACGTAGATAGTAAATATGTACACATGGGGTATCCCTACGTATCATTATCGCATTTCCTTTCGACTGCAGATTCTTTGAAGGATTCCGACTGAGTCAACTTTCTCCTTTAGCACGAGATTGAAAAGGAGATCTAATTACAGAGTTAGTTAACATTGGAATTAAAGGATTTTGCCGTACCAGGCTTTAGCAGCGTACGTAGATAACGGAACTTTGTTTTCAGATAATTTTAAGACGAACTTTCAGTCGAACGGAGAAATAATTTCAAACTTAATTAACGGAATACTTAACTTTCAAATGCCTTGATAATTATATTTGACAATTAAAACAAATTGAAGTTCTTTTGTCATTAGCTGATATACAAAATTGCAAATTCTCAAAATTCCTGAATGCTTCTATTAAAGAGCAACTAAAATTCAAGTTAATTTTAATAAATTATAAAATTATAAACGATTAAATAAATTATAAACAAAAATTTTTAGCAAGCAAAGCATATCGTATTTGCACATGCATACAGAAACACAGAAATATATTTCTCTTAAAGTTTAACTATGTTTCATGCAACTTATGAATTGATATTGTAAATAATTATGTATATTTCATTGATTATCTTTCCCTCATTCTACTATTCTAAATAGCTTTTTTGCTATCAGCGTGAACCACACATCGCCACACACAATCGTACTTCGTATATCTGTAAATAAATATATAACACGAAATATATATATATAAACTTAACGAACGTCGCGTACTTCCAAGATCGATAAAATGTAAGATATTAGGCAACTTTCAATCTTATTTTAAGAATAGATAGCGGGTAATCAATCAATGTTAATATCCGTGTGTCCAGTAACATGAAGATTTATACTCGAAAAGCGAAATTGTGGTGCAGATAGGATAAGAGCGCTGTACATTGAACGAGCATTTACATCCTTGTCATATATAAATACGATGCGTTAGTGCGATATTTTGTCTGATAAGAGCAATTTTGAATATCGAGAAAAATAATCCCAGCGTTAGTTCGGCATCCGCTATTTTCAAATTACAATAATTTTGCCGTAGGATTTGAAATGGCGTTTGCGTCGAATCACGCAAGACGTAAGCATATTGAAGATATCATATACTTGGAATCAAATATTCTGATGAAAAAGCAGAATTGAAAGTAAAACTGAAAGAAAAAAAATATGTTAAACAATTTTCATAATTTTTTTTAAATTTTGTTTCAGGTATTTTAAAATAGCTGGAATATTTTGTAAAGGATTAAGTAAGAAAAATTGTCATTAAAAAAATCTATATTTAATAAATTCTAGGTATATTTGTCTTCAAAATGTTAAACTGAAATTTCCTGTGCTCTATATTTTGCAAATGTAAAATAATTATATATATTATATATATGTTACAAATGCGATATTACACTAATATATAAAAACAAGTTTTTCTAATAAAATAACGGGGTATTTCCGTAAATTTATATTTGTGTAACAAAATTTTTACATTTCTCTATACATGTATTATAAACCACTGATGTTTAAAAAAATGACCATAACGTATTTATTTTGTTTTACGCTTTTTTAGTCCTTGTTGAACTTTTCGTTTTATTTCAGCAACATCTATATCAGTCTTTACAGTTTCATTAACAACAGCTTTTTCTTCAGGTGGTACAAATGCCTGTGCTCTACGTTCCTGTCTCTTCTTGGTTGCCTCTTCATGTTTTGCTTCCTGTTCCTTCTTTCGCTTTGCTCTCTTTTGTTCCTGATTCAAGAAATATTCACCAGTTGCCATTGCCTTATCAATCTTACTTTCCTGTTGAGGTGGTGGGAATGGAGTGTATGGTTTTTTCTCTTTCTTCTTCTTTGGTTCCTTGCGCTTGCTTATGTTCTTACTGTTATACTTGGGAAGATATCGTTCCCAATTCTCGTTTATTAATTTTGGATTTTTAGCAAGTTCTCGTCTAAGCATTAACGTCTTGAGACTATAAACTGGATGAATATTTTTCATAGTATCTTCTACTATCTTCCTTACTTGCTGCACACTCTTGTAAGGCCCCAATGCCGAGACAGTTTGACCCTGGACTACAACGTAACAGTTAGTGAGTAACTCAATGGACTTCAAATTGCATCCATTTGGCCCAATAAGTCTTTGTCTCCTCTTGACAAACTTATCTTTGTTTCTGACAAGTGAGGATATCTTTATCACATCTGCAGCAATATCATCCTGAAGAACTCTAACCGCCTGCTCAAAAGGAACTGAACGAGCCATGAGCTTGATCATGTCACGTGCCTTGATGATGATGTATGGATCCCAGGTCTTCCTGGTAGTTTTTACCGTCATACTTCCTTCGATGAGATCCATCTCGGCCTTGATATGATGCTCGGCTAAGGCTTTTTGAACTAAAGGCCAGTGTTCCTTCAGATATTGCTCTCGATACTTTGGAAACATAGTCGCAAACGAACTTTCTTCAAGAAGACGATGTGGATTATCTGCTTCTTTAAATTCTGGTATCTTCAATGACCACGCATTGTCGATCGGCCCAGTCTTCTGTACTTTCGCACTGTCCTTCGAATTACTCATTCTCATATGGTTTAGAATAATCGAAAGTTTAATACATCACAAATGTGGACACAAATATGTTCGTAAATAAATACAGGTTATGTTATGAAATATAGATACTGTAAGAATTAGACGACCGTAAGCGGTCATGAAAGAGCTTCGGAATATAAACGCTAACAGAGAGGAGCGTCGTGGTCGTGCAGACTAAGTGTCGGATTGGTAGACGAGGGATCCCGAGTTCAAATCCAGTTGGTCTGCGTTAATTTTTTCCGAATCTAACAGATATCTTTCAATACATTTCTGCTTCTTGATACAGATTCTCGTAACCAGAATACTTGTAGAAGATATCGATATAATCAAATATATAAGATAAATCTTCTAACAAACCTGCAGAAATTACTATACGTTTAAAAAAATTATTGATTTTTTTTCGCAAGCACTATAACTACACAAGACTAAAGAGAAGCCTTCAGAGTAGTCATGCATTTTAGCTGAAACCCGTCCTCTATATGCATAAACTATGCACCTTGAACTATATAGTCATGACTATAAGTACCTTCGACGGATAATGTAGGTTACCTGTTAATGTAAATGATTTTTGATTTTAGTCCATGCTATATCTATAAAAGCTCGATAATGCAGCATATTCGTAAAACGTGTTTACGTATAAATGGAACAAGAAGATGTATAAATACAAAAAGTTGGATACCGACAAGATTCTATTAAAGACCGACAATCTTACGGGAGTTAGCGAGACGTGAAAAACATAATATGACATTATCATTTATATTACGAGTATCGTTAGATATAAAACTTCTGACACATTAGTATTGTCAGAATAGATATTTCTGACATTACGATAAACAATGATTAATAATCCCAACAAGACCGAGTGGTCGATCTCATCAACGATTAACTTCATCGACCTATTTATTTTAAAGAATGCCAAAACTTAAAACTGATTATTCTTAATATATTTTTATAATTATTTTAATTAAAATTATTATTTAATTATTTTTTGTATGTAATCTACGAAAAATACAAAGTAAAAAATATGCGATAATGATTAATCGAAGATTAAAATGTAAGACTCTGCGCACAATAGAGAAAATATTATAAATAAGAATAAATTTGAAAATGAAAATTTGTTAGATAAAGATTAAACGTAAGATACAATAGATTCAAGTGTAAGAATATACATAGATATATGTTGAATTGAAGTATTTAAATTAAATATTTATATTAAATATTTAAATTTTAATCTTCATTTTGAATTTTCATTTCAAAAAATTTATTATTTATTCCTGTTCCTAATATTTTGTTCATTGTGTGTAGATCCTAACGGAAAGACACTACCTTGTATATATAGGATATGTCAAAATTGTGAAAACGGTCGAATATCTTGAAAATAAAGCATTTTTTAGAAAAATGTTTCAAACAAAAGTTGTAGGATTTCGAAAGATCTATTTAATAGGTGTGTCATTTTTATGACTTTTTGCAAACGATAAATTTTGATGGATATTACTTTGATATGATGAAAGGATTGCGTATCCCAAGGGATTTTTTTTAATTACAGTCTAATTCAAATATCTTTAATGTTGAGCGCGTGAATTCTGTTGAAATTCGCTTCTTTGCTTTGAAATACTCATTAATTTAAAAATAATTTATATGCTATTTTGTAATACGTATAATAATGTAATACGTATAGTGATTTGTATAATGATAATTAGTTTATAATAACAATTATTTATTGTAACAAATAAGACATCTATCTCAAATAAATTGTAATAAGTCTATTAAGAGTGCGTTTGCTTTCATGCTCACGCACTATAAGTATTATGTTCCGTTATAATATAAAATTTATATAAAATATATTTTATTTAATTACTTTTGTATTCAACCTGTGATTATATTATTTTAATATTAAATTATATATTATATAAAAAGTGATAAATGTAAGAAAATTTAAAATGTATGTGTAAAGAAAAGAGGACTGCTAAAATCGGCAGGGATAGTGGAGGGCCGCTATAAATTTATCAGTTCTTAAAAATACAATAGAAGTCACAGCATAGAAGTTTGCAAACTAATGAGATCTACCGTTAGAATTGTAGGTTTTCTTGTTATAATTTATAAAAATAAGAACATTAAAATTAAGTCTCAAAATATAGGTAGAATATACAATTAAAAACATAGCTTTATGGCCAAACTTTTCCACACACACACACACACACACACACACACACACACACACACACACACACACACACACACACACACACACACACACACACACACACACACCACACTACACACACACACACACACACACACACACACACACACACACACACTACACACTACACTACACAC